CTGAGCACTGAGCGCACTCCCAGAGGACAGGATAGGCCTCTGACATGACGTGTGTCCTCACCTTTGTCCCCAGGGATGAGCGGGGCAAGGCTCCTGGGCATCCACCACGACGCCGTCATCTTCCTGGCAGAGCAGCTGCCCGGGGCCCAGCGCTGCCAGCACTACAAGTTCCGCTACCACCAGCAGGGAGAGGGCCAGGAAGAACCCCCCCTGAACCCCCATGGAGCAGCCCGGGCTGAGGTCTATCTCCGGTGAGATGTCGGGGCGGCCCTGTGGGTGTTTTCAAGCGCGGGAGTTAGGTCTCGAGATTGGAAACTGAGGCCTGGGAGAAGGTGCTTGGCCCCTCCAGGAATTACTCCTAGAGTTCACAGCAGAAGAGTGAACCCCCCTCTGTCCCCCTCCTGCTGTGTCTTGGGGGTAGCAGTATTTCTCCTTGCTAGCAGCAAGCCCCAGTCAGAGGTTAGGTGGGTGACATCTCTTTGAAGGAATGGCTGTTACCCACTCTCTCTTCTCCCCCGTTGCTGCAGGAAATGCACCTTTGACATGTTCAACTTCCTGGCCTCCCAGCACCGGGTGCTCCCTGAGGGAGCCGCCTGTGACGAGGAAGAGGATGAGGTGCAGCTCAGGTCAACCAGGTACGGAGGGCAGGCCAGGGTGCTGGGGGTGTTCTGGAAGGGTCCTAAAGAGGGTGACCAGGGGCAAGAGAGGTCATTCCTGGGTACCAGCCTGTGACACTGCTGACCCCACCAGACGTGCCACCAGCCTGGAGCTGCCCATGGCCATGCGCTTTCGCCACCTCAAGAAGACATCCAAAGAGGCTGTGGGTGTCTACAGGTTAGTGGGGTTGGGGGGAGGATGCCCCTTGGGTGGATGGACAGGTGCCCTGGTGCAGGGCCACCTTGGTTCTGTCCCCCTCCCCCCTGAGCTCCCTCTGGCCCGTCCTACCCTGCAGATCTGCCATCCACGGGCGGGGCCTGTTCTGTAAGCGGAACATTGATGCCGGCGAGATGGTCATCGAGTATTCTGGAATCGTCATTCGCTCCGTGCTGACTGACAAGCGGGAGAAGTTCTACGATGGGAAGGTGGGCTCCGTGGGGCTGTGGGAGCGAGGTGGGCACAGCGGGGCTGGGCTGTGGGCACCGAGAGCCCCTGACCGCGCCTCCCCGCCACTCTAGGGGATCGGGTGCTACATGTTCCGGATGGACGACTTCGATGTGGTGGACGCCACGATGCACGGCAATGCCGCGCGCTTCATCAACCACTCATGCGAGCCCAACTGCTTCTCCCGGGTCATCCACGTGGAGGGCCAGAAGCACATCGTCATCTTCGCCTTGCGCCGCATTCTGCGCGGGGAGGAGCTCACCTATGACTACAAGTTCCCCATCGAGGACGCCAGCAACAAGCTGCCCTGCAACTGCGGCGCCAAGCGCTGCCGTCGCTTCCTGAACTGAGGCCGCCGCTGCCGCCGCCGCCACCGCCCCATAGCCCCTGCTGCCATCTGGCCCTGAGCTGGGGAGGGGTTGCTCCTGAGCCCCCCGCAGCCTCCAGAGCCTCTCACCCCCACCCTCCTGTCCAGGGTGGACGTGGGCTCGCAGGTGGCAGAGGCCCTGCCTCCACCCCTCCGGCCCACCCAGCAATCGCCCCCTCCCTGCTTTGGGGGCCCAGGATGTAGATACTGTACAAAGGTTTCTAAATCCCTTCTTTTCTATGCACTTTTTTATTTAAGAGGGCGGGTTCCCAGGTGGGAACCCCCCATAATAAAGTCTGTCAATGTTTGGAGAGGTGGTCTTCCCATTTGTGTGGTGCTGCGGCAGCTGGGAGCTCCTGGTTGTCCACACCACTCCTGAGCCAGGGAAGCCTGTCAGCCTCAGCAGGAGGTGAGAGGCCACCCTTGGGAAGGACATGGAAACTGGGGGGAGGGGTCTGTTCCAGCTTCAGAGCTGCACACGCTCTGCCGGTTCCCAGTGAGAACCAAGTCGGGCTCCCCGTGGATGACCTGCTCCAGGGGTAGCAGGGCCGTTTCTCGGGGAGGACCCGGGCTGCCCAGAGGCACCAGAAGCCGGCTCTAGGTGGCCCCTCAGGCTTTATTCCGGTCTGTGTGTGTGGTGGAGTAAGAGCGTTCCTGTTGGGTCTCAGCCTAATTCAGACTGTTTCAAAAGCTCGCCTTAATGAGGCTCAGAGACGGCGGACACTTATTTCACAGGAAACTTTATTAAGGATTAGGCTGGGCAAGTCCCAGCTCAGCCAAGCTTGGACAGCACCTGCAGCGCATCTGCCCGCCCTAGCTGGGCCAGGTGTGTGCCAAGCTGGCCCAGAGAAGCAGACGGCTCCCTTGCCACCACCATCTCAATCAAGGCCCACAGTGGCGAGCGACTGGGCCGCAGCGAGTAGGCGAAGGTGGACCAGGCAGCAGGCACTCCATATCTTGCCGCCAGGTGTCTGGTGGTGCCACAGGCCATCCCCCCACCCGGCCCCGGCTCGGGATCCAGCAGTACAATCAGCTCCTCCAGCACCTCCAGCTCATCCAGGAGGCGAGACAGGGGCTGTGAGGCCAAATTAGGCAGTTCTGGGAGACAAATTTTGGGGTGAGGGAGAGGAAGGGCAATCTTCCCATCCACCTCCCTCCCTGGCATGTCCCCAACTAACCTCTGCCCAGGAGTGGAACCAGAGCGACCTCCTTCCGTGAGTCCCCTGTCTCTGATGCCTCCAGGGAGCCTGGAGAGGACGAGTGCAGGGAGAAGAGGAGGGTATGGATGTTGGTGTCCTCGCAAACCAAGCCAGGATAGGGATGGAGGACAACTTTTGCCTGGTGGTGACACCGCTGGGCCACCAGGAGGACCACTCCTGAGGTGATCAGCAGAACCAGCACCACGAAAACCAGCACGACTGGCAGGGCAAAATTTGGCAAGACCTGAGTGACGCTGCGCTCAGATGTCCACGACAGACTGGAAATCGGTGATGGGCTGGGGTCCTGGGAGCTAAGGACATCTGGTTTCCCAGACTTCAGGGGGCAGGGCTCCTTGGGAGGGATCGACCTCTGCAAATAGGTTGGAGTAAAGTGGGAGGCATGCCCGACTCCTGCCCCCTCAGCCTGAACCTTCCATCCTTCCAACCCTCAGTGGGACCAAATCCCCACCCGATCCAGCTACCCCCCCCCCCCCCCACACTTGAACCCAGGTAGGTCTCCTGATCTATTATGCCCCCACCCTATTCTCTTCAGTGGGGCTACACCCCCTCCCTTGATCCAGAACCCGCCCATCTAACCCCAGACCACGCCCCCCAGCCCCCAACCCGCCTCCAGCAAGCTGCACCCTAGCCCAGGCCCTCCGGAGCCCGACCAGGACCTGTGGGCAGCGCTGCTGTGTTCCACTCCGGCTCCCCGCGGGAGCAGGGGCCGTGGCTCCGCCGCCACAGGGGCTACATAGCTCCGCACTGTCGGGGTTGCACTGCCCAAAAGGACATTCTTTGAAGGGACGCGACATGTGATCGCCAGAATCATCGAGACCGCAGTTTTCCGAAAACTCGTAGTCTGGTGGCAAACAGGATCTTACAGCTTACAGCTGCCCGGGCACTCCTCTCCTGCACTAGCGACACCCTTTCCCCTTTGTCCCATCCCAGCAGGCCCCAGCCCTTATACTCTACTAACCCAACCTATCACCGAAGCGTCCACCCTTCCTCCCCGCACTAGCCCGGCCAGTCTCCAGACCCTGTCTCCACAGGCCCCGCCCCCCGTTACCCCCACCCCGCTCCGGCACCAAGCCCCGCCTACTCCTGATTTGTCTGCTCAGCCCAGCCTTTGAACACTGCTGCGATCCGGCCTAACAGGCAATCCCCTACCATCCCTTCCATCACAAGCGGAGCCCCACATCGTCTTACCTGTGTAAGGCCTGCTGCCCCCCCCCCCGAAGCAAGCCCCACGGGCAGTAACCCACAAACTTCGTCCCTTCCCCAGCTCCTTATCACCCGCTGGCTCGGCCTGAACATTTGCATGCCCCGTCTCTGCTCCTCACCGGGACAGGGGGGAGGCCCAAAGAGCTGCAGGCAACTGCCGCAGCACCGGTTATCAGGGTTCCAGTACTCCAGGCGCCCGCAGTGCTGGGAGGCCTCCCTAGGCACCACCTGGGCCAGGAGCAGCGCAGCAGTCAGGAGGAGGCATAGGGGCCCCATCCGGGCAGGGTCTGCAGCCTGGGGAGCCATGACCGCAGGACTTCCGACCACAGCGACTCTGTCACACTTTCCAGGAAACCCAGGCAGAAGAAGGAAGCAGTGATGTGGGGGCATGGAATCCCCAGACCCCTTTGGAAGACAGGAATCTACCCCCAGCCCCTAGTCCAGCTCCTGGTCCATTATCGGAAGGGCCACAAAGGCCTCAAGATGGCTAGAATGAAGAGTCTGGGACCACAACGAGTGGAATCATATCCCACCTCTGTCATCTTCCTTACCTCTTTTCTCATCCCTAGAACGGGATGACAGTACCTGTCTCGAAGGTTTATTGTGAAGAATTAAAATCGTTACTTGAAGTACTTAGAACAGAACCTGGCATATGGTAAGCTTAAGTAGGTATTTCCAACGCCATGTCAGGGCAGCTGGCATGGAGGACCCAGCCTGCACCCTCTGGAGATTCCCACTCAACTCCCAGGAACCTTACTTTAGCTGTCTAACCCCAATCTCCCTCCGGGCTGGGAATCCTCCAACCTGTCACAACCAGGCACCTCCCCCTAGAGAAGCCTGAGAGCCTGGGAATCCTCCAACCTGTCACAACCAGGCATCTCCCCCTAGAGAAGCCTGAGAGCCTGCTGAGGCTCCCAGCTCAGAGGCGTGCCCACCGCAACCCATCCCACTGAGGGGTTTCTAGAGCCCTGGGCCTGAGCCTACTGCTCTCCCACCTGTTGTTGGAAGTTCTTCAGCAGAAGTTGTGGCCGGAGACCAGCCCGCTTCCCCTTTCGTGAGGAGATGTGGGGGTGGAAGGAAACTCCAGCCCACAGCTAGGCTCAAGCTAATAGGTTCTAAACCCTCAATAGAGAGCTTTATTAGGGGAGGGGTGGTAAGAGAAGATCCCTGTGTTGAACAGATACATCATGGAGCCCGGGAGCCTGGGGAAGATGAAGCTGGGGAGTTAAGAGAGCTTTAAGGAGGGGTCCTAGCTGGGAACATTTAAGCCTGTCAGGGGTAGAGGTCAAGGGAGCCAGGGTCTCAGAAGCGGCCATGCCGGTGGTCTGGGGAACGTTGTCGGTTTCTTTCTCGGGGATGGTGGCCGGTGTGGGACCTCGGGGGTGACCTGGGGACAGGAGTGGAGAGATGAGGGTTAGAGCTGGAAGGAGTGAGGCACTGTTCCCCAGCTCTGCCTCTCTGCTCTGGGATGGGGCAGGTAACCAGAGTTCCTGAGTGGTATCAGTACGGGTTCTCAGGGACCGATCTCGGGACTGGAGATCCAGACTGGTCTTGGGTTTGGGGCTTTGGAGTTCCAGCTGGTTTGGGGGTTGAGACTCAGGCGCTGGTCTTTGGATGGTGCTCAAAGCTAGTCTTAGGATACAAAAAAGAGACGCTGTTACTGGGGGCACAGGATGAGGTCCATGTCAGGGTCTAAGGGCCTTAGAGTATGAGCTGTCTGGACAGGCTGGTCCTGAGGTACCTGCGCCTGGGTCCCCGCCCATACAGCTGACGTCGGAGGTTACGGGAGATGGGCCGCAGGTGCATGAAGTTGCAGAAGCCACCTCGGGTACATTCCCTGGGTAGAGGATGGACGGACGGATGGACGAAGCCGTTGTCAATGACAACATCCCAACACACAGGAGTGTGGGAACTCCAGATGCCCATCCCAGCCCCCGGCTACCATACCCCATCTCATACTGCCGGCAGCATGACTCCCGAAAGTCGGTGACAGGAGACAGCTCAGCATGCACAGCCTGCCCGTTGAACCAGCGGTTATTGAGCTCAGCCACTGCACGCTCTGCATCCTCCTCACGCCGAAACTGAGGGGAAAGTTGATCAGGGTCAGCAATCAAACTCAGAAGTCTTCAGTGGATTCGTCAGCAGCTCTGGGCCCGGGCTGGATTTAGTGATGGACCTCAAGCTATGAGGCTTCAAAGGTGGCCATCAGGCACTGAAAGCCTCCACCTCTAGGCTCTCATGTGGGGACAGCAGGCACCTTGACATAGACATTGCCCACGAGGTGGTCCCCCAGGTTGTCGCACACATTCATCTCTTCAATCTCCCCGTACTTCTCCTGCAGCTCCGTGAACACCTCCTGCGGAAAACCAGGAGAAACTCAGCTGAGCTACTGATCTCCAGGAAACTCTACCCATCCCTTGCCAACCCTCACCTCGAAGAAGTTATCATAGTGTTCTTGCACCTCCACGTCGCTCACGTGACCTGGGCGGGAGGAGCAGGGTGAAATCAGGGGCTGGCCTGCTGGGGCCTGTCCGCCCTGCCCCCAAGACCGGTCCCTCACTCACAGTGCGATCCGTCTGCGGTTTGGGCGGTGTTCTGTGGATTCTGGTACAGGTTGAGTAGCACTATGGTCTGAACAGAATTTAAAGGGGGCGGGGCCTGAGCTCATGCAAAGGGGTGAAGTGAGGTATGACGGTTGAGGGGTGACACTTGGCAACAGAGAAGAAGCCTAAGCATCTTGAGTGCATCAGCGATGCTTGCCCCTAAGGAAACCAGAAGAGACACCTAGCAGTCAGGGACAGCCCAGCGTGTAACTTGTACGTACGGGGGCGTGGCCAAGATTCTGGGAGAGGGGCCTGTAGGAGAGGGAGGAACCTGCAGAGGCCCGACTAGAAAGAAGCCGGTGGTGGGGTGGGGCTTAGGAAGCCGGAAAAGGCGGGACCTCGTGGTGACGGACAACAGAAGGGGACTGGCCGGGAGACGTTAACCCTCAAAGCTCCGTGCCGGGTCTCACCTGACTGAAAGTCGGTTTGTTGTGAAGCCGGGAGCACCGGTCCCCGTGCCGACAGGCCCCGATCTTAAAGTAAAAAGAGCAGTTAACCCTGGAAGAGGTGCAAAGACAGAGGTGAACCTAGGGCCGGGGAGGCCGGACACCCCAGAAACATCGCCCAACGCCCCCCAGCCACCAGGGAACCAAATGTCCCGGTCCTGTCCCCCGCAAGGAGCCACTCCCTGCGCCCGTTCTCACTTGTCCTTCTCAGTCCCGAATATCGAAGCTAAATATTCAGCCATTTTTACCCGAACCCTCCAACTCTGTCTGCTCTCACGTCATTTCCGTTGCTTAAGAGCATTGGGAAGTGTAGTTCGTCGCTGCCTCCCGACACAGCACGCGCTTAGAAACTGCCTACTTCGCTTGCGGGTTCGAGGCCTGCGCCCTCCCGGCAAAATCACCACTGGAGTTCCCGAAGGCGCATGCGGGCAGCGTTGCGGCATCTAAAAAGACTACAAACTCCAGAGACACTTGCGGTAACTCGCGCAAACTTCCGGAGTTGAAAGTGGCAAGGGCTTCCAAGCGAGGAAATAGACTGCACTGGTGAGTTGGGGACCGTTCGCGCACCCGAATAAACACGAAGAACGTTCAACCCAGCCAGCTTGCTGGTGGGAGCCGGGGTACCCTTCTTTCAGCAAACCCACCCTGCAGTTTTTCTCCGTTTTGTCGTAATAGGGGCGTGGTTGTTCGCGATCCCTGCATCTGTCACTTGGGGTCGAGGCTTGGCTCCTGCCCTACAGACCCGCGGGAAGACTCGGCCTCAGCGCCACTATGAACTTGGAGCGGGTGTCTAACGAGGAAAAATTGAATCTGTGCCGGAAGTACTACCTGGGTAAGGGCTGGTTCCTAGGATCCCAGGAGAAGAGAGGGGACCGGACTAGAGCGCCAGAGGGAAGAGACCCTGGGGCCTGGATTCTTGAGTCTAAGGGATAAAGCGACTGAGGTTGCGGACTCCTGGGAAGGGAAGGGCCTGGGACCTAAGGAAAGAGGAAGCTGGGACCTCAGCTTCTGGGTCCCAAGAGACGGGGGACGTTGGGCCGGACTCTGGGTCACGAGAAAGAGATGAATGAGGAGTCGGATTTGGAGGCCCTAGAGAGGGAGCCAGGATTTCTAAGTCTCTGATAGCAGAGATCGCCACTTGAACTTGGGTATGGGAGACAGCCTTCCGTCCTCTAGGTGGGAGTTGGGGCGGGGAGAGGGTAGGGGGAGGAGGATCCTCACTGCCTAACGTTCCAGTTTTTTGTTTGTTTGTTTGCTTTTTTCTCTTAGGTGGGTTTGCTTTCCTGCCTTTTCTCTGGTTGGTCAACATCTTCTGGTTCTTCCGAGAGGCCTTCCTTGTCCCAGCATACACGGAGCAGAGCCAAATCAAAGGCTGTGAGTCCAGGGTACAGATGAAGGGAGGCCATCAGATGTTGGGAGGGAATGATGGAGGTTTCAGGATTCGGGGCTTCTGAAGAGAAGAGAGGGCCAGCGCGGCGGTGGCGGGGGCGGGGCCGGAGACTAGAGATCAGGTGGAGGCCAACCTTATCCATTCTTGTTCCTTTTGCAGATGTCTGGCGCTCAGCTGTGGGCTTCCTCTTCTGGGTGATTGTGCTCACCACCTGGATCACCATCTTCCAGATCTACCGGCCCCGTTGGGGCGCCCTTGGTGACTACCTCTCCTTCACCATACCCCTGGGTACCCCCTGATCCTTCCTCTGCACAGGACTGGGACCTGCTCATTCGCCCAGGATGGGCTCCTCTACTCTAAGCTCACTCTCAAACCCCAAGACTTGTTCCCATTTCCTGTGTTCTTTGCTGACATCCCCCAATAAAGGACTCTAATTCTCTATATTGACTTCCTGGATCTTTTGGAGGTTGAAGCATAAAATGGTTATTAATATTCAGAAATACGTATTTAATGCCTACCTTGTGCCAGGCTTAGTGCTTAACACATATGTGCAGTCCTTCATTCTCTGCACCCTCTGAAATAGGAACTTTCCTGCTCTGGAACCCTATTTTACAAATGCAGAACTAAGGATTATTGCTGGCATTGCTAGGGGCCTTTATCCTGTGCTAGTGGTGTGTGAATTTGAAAACTACTTTCTCACTTGGTCTCAGTATTCTCATCAGAAATTTGGATATCAGTGTTATCTCCTAGAATTTTCCTGAGCCAAAGTGTATGTGTTAAATGGAAGTTTCCCGTTTTCTGAGGATGTTGCCTGCAGCATTAGACATAGCCAAGAGTTTTATCAGAGGGGGCTTCCTTGACTATCTTTAAAATTTCAGCCCCTACTTTGGTACTCCCAATGTGCCTTCAGTGTTTATCCTTTCTCATTACATTTCATTTAATATGTTTTACTTGTTTCTTGTAATCTCACATCCTCTAAAATATAAGCTCAATTACGGGAAGAGTTTTTGTCTCTTTTGTTCAGTGCTGTCTTCCCAGTACCTAGAAGAGTGCCTAGCACGCTAACAAATACTTGCTAAATAAATGAGGTGCCTGAAGAGAGATTAACAGGTAGATGGCACCTAGCGAGTGCTCAGTAAGATTGAAACCGGCCTAACTCCAGAATTCTCTTCCTCAGGGACAAAAAGGGCTCCCACGGTTAAATAAACCCCGTCAGTAGCTAAATTCGTGCTACTCAAAGCTTCTAACACTACAAGTTCCGAGAGGCCTCGCGAAGCCCTGGTCCTACATCACCCACAGTGCCTGGCGCGACGCAGGCGCCGTTACTCTGGCTACGTGTTTGGGAGCTGGAACTACACCTCCCAAGAAGCGCTCCAGGATGCCGTTGGTTTGTTTCCGGAAACGGGGCCTCAAATGTGGGACTTAGACCTGGGAGCCGATGGCTGCAGCTGTCAATTGGTCAGGGATGAGATCGACGGTTGCACTGACAAATGGAAATAAGCAGTTGCCGAAGGGGCCCGCCCACAGAAGGGAAACTGGTAGAGGTGGCGGCTGCAGTGGCGGTCGGTGCCGGACACTGCTCAGCGCCGAGGATTGGCCGCACACAAAGCTTATCTGACCTCTTCCCGTCTGCCTTCAGCCTTGATTTGTGATCCTGGGCTCTTCTGGGCTCCTCTGACCCAGTTAGCCACACCTCAAACCCAAACCATGTTCCCGGTGAAGGTGAAAGTGGAGAAATCAGGTGAGGACTCCGAGGTAGGGGGCTTTTAGGGGAGCACCAACCGATCGGGGTATGGGAGCTCCGAAAGACAGGATTATCGCCATAAGACGGACCACGCAGCTTTTTCCTGCCACCCGTCTGACTATCGCTGTCAGGCATGGAACGATTCTTGCCATCTTCATACCCTCCCGGTTTGTACTCAAGGTAGCATTGAGGTTGAATGGTGGTGGCTCAGACTCTTTGGTGCGGTGAGACATGGGGATCCCGAGCCGTGTAACTCTGAAAAGGACTTGTCTTGGCTCTGCCTCAGTTTCCCTATTTCCAGAAGTGGTCATTAACAGCAAAGGTCAAGTATTGTGCTCAGAGCCTGAAGTACAGAGAAGCTTTTAATCTTGGCCGTTACTGTATCCCAATAATCTTAGGAAGTAGGAAATGTGGTGGCTGGGGAAACCGAAGCTGAGAGAGAGGAAGTCTTTTTGCGTTGGGTCCAAGTTGATGGGAAACCAGGACTGGCATGTTGAGGGCTAGTGGCACAGAATCCAGACCCCTCCTCCACCCACCCACCCCCAAAAAGAGTAAAATGATGTGTAGGGTGTTAAATGGTATAAGTGGTAATAAAAACGAAACAGAAGAAGGTAAGATCTGACAAGATGAGGAAGAAAGCCATGAGGGTAGGTGAGGGACCAGCAAATCAGATCGAGGATACAGCTCTGAAGAGGCCCTGAAGTGGAAAACTGATTTGGCCTGTGCGAGGACAAGTAGGGAGGCCAGTGTGGCTGGAGCAGAGGGAGTGAGCTAGGGAGCATGAGGGGATGAACAGCAGAGAGCGAGAAGGAAGGGAACAGATCTTGTGGCCCCAAGTTAGGACTTTGGCTTTTGCTTAGAGGGGAATTGGGGAGCCAAGGGAGGGTTCAGAACTGAGGAGCAAGTTAATAAAAATGTCTCCCAAATGCAAAAATAAATAAATAAATAAAAAATTAAAAAATGTGGGTGGAAGAGTAAAGGCCTGGCCACAAATAATGGTTGGGGCAGGGGTAGGCACGGTTATGGAGGCCTGTGAACACTGGGTGGAAGAGCTCAGTCCTGGGGCTCTGCAGAGCTGTACAGTGTTCTAAGCAGGAGAGGATCAGGTTTGGTTTGGTTTTCCAAGGAGTCCTCTGGCTACGTTGTGGAGGATAGATCAGAGGAGGAGATTGAAGCTAGGAGCCCAGGAGAAGTAAGGGAGAAGACCGGGGTACGGAGGGGGTAAGTGGAGAGACACTCAGGACGCCAAATGGACAGGCCCTGGGGTTGGTGGGCTGGGGTAGGGGAGGGTAAGAGGTGTCTGTTATGAGGCCCGGGGAGGGATTGGGGGGCCGTGGGGCTACCCTGAAATGGCCCAGGAAAAGGGGTAAAGTTTAGAGAGGCCCCGAAGCTCGTGTGGGACCCAGTAGATGGTAGGGGCCGAGGGGATGTTCAGGGAAAGGTATCTAGGAGACCATGGGATCCCAAGGTCTAAGGTTCAGGAGAGAAGCAGGGAGGGGCTAGGGAAAGAGATGTGGGTATGATCAATGCCTTGGCTCCTGCCCAGGGCTCTTTGCTAGACTCTGAGCTGCCTCTAGCCCTTCACCCCCACCCTGTCTCTCCTCAGTGATGTTGGGAATCCCTGTGTCTCCCTGTCCCAGGGCTGGCAAAGCATGTCCCCAAGTGTCCTTCCAGGCTTTGAGCATTGGGACAGAGTGATGCTAGGTACTGGCTGGAAGAAGATAATAAACACCCCACAAGAGTGAGAGGAGAATATTTATAACATCATCACCTCCTTAAGTTCTATGATGAGGGCAGGCAAACACACAGGCGGACAGAGCCAGGAATGCAGGAAGGTGGGCCCAGATGTCATTTCCTGCCAAAAATGGATATTTTAGGTGCAGTCTCCAAATTATTTTTTTAAAGATTTTATTTATTTATTTGACAGAGATCACAGGTAGGCAGGTGGGGGGTGGGGGGAAGCAGGCTCCCTGCTGAGTAGAGACAACTCCCCCATAAGGGGCTCAATCCCAGGACCCTGGGATCGTGACCTGAGCCAAAGGCAGAGGCTTTAACCCACTGAGCCACCCAGGTGCCCCTAGTCTCCAAATTATTAAGTGTTGTCCATTCAGATTTAGTTCAGATTTAAAATAACACCAAACAAAACAAAAAGTCAGCCAAACAAACACATCTGGGGGCTAGATTCTGCACCCACTTTGAGTCTCTGCCTTATAACTGTGGCTGTAGAGCCAGATGGCCTGTGTGCAAATCCTCAGCCCTGAAATTGCCTCGCTGTGTGACTTTGAGCAAGTAGCCTAACTTCTCTGTGCCTCAGTTTCATCATACATAAGATACATATCTACCTGCCAGAGTCATTTTGAAAATATAACAGGGTTAACATGTGTGACATGCTTAGAACCATTCTTGGCACATATGTACAACTTTATTATTATTATTACATGTTGCTCAGAGATTTATATACACCATAGGTTTATTTAAATCTCAGAACAGTCTTTGCAGTTAGGTAGCATTGGAAGGCCTATTTTCAAGTTAAGGAAACAGGCTCAATGAGGTAAGGTGACTTGGCTTTGGTCACATGTGAGCATGTGGGACAGTCCTGGGACCCAGGGCTTTTGCTCTTCACATCAGTTGTCTTTGCCCACTGCCCCCTCTCAGCATGCCTGCGCCTGGCTGGAGGCTTGGATACGCATGCCCTTCCCCAGCCCAGTTGGCTACCCACCTGCCTTGGACCTGGGCACTGACTCCTGCTCGCTGTCCTCTTCCCCAGAGTTGGAGATGGCCAAGGCCCGGAACCAACTTGATGCTGTTTTGCAGTGTCTGCTGGAGAAGAGCCACATGGACAGGTTGGGATCTGGCCGGGTCATTGGGGTTGGGGGTCCTGGCACATTGGACCCTCTCTCTGGTCCTGGGTGCATCTGGGTAGGACCCCAGAGGCTGACTTAGGGAGCAGGGGGCCCAATGGAAAAGCCACTCAGTGTCTTCCCACTCGGCCTTGGGAACCCGGAGCCCACAGTTCTCTCCTGCTACCAGGGAGCGTCTGGAGGAAGAGGCTGGGAAAACCCCCTCGGACACCCACAACAAGTAAGTTTTGTGGATGGGATCTGAATCTGAGGGTTTGTGTGGGACAGCTTCCTCCCTCATCCAAGCTTCCTCCACCATACTCCTAACCAGCCCGCACGTACGGAGACCCTGTGGCGGCAGAAGCTTAGGTCCCCTCCTGGTTGACGCCTACAGCCCTGGAGGCTCAAGCAGGATGCAGGCTCTAAGGGGTCGGGGTGGGGGGGTCCATGTGAGCATCTCAGTCTCCCCAGGGCTCCCTTTGGGTGGTTTTGAGCAGGGGTTGGTTTGAGGGTCAGCCTGCTGACACCTTGTCTCTCCCCACAGGGATTGTTCCATTGCAGCCACTGGCAAACGGTAAGGTGGCAGGGGCCCCAGCCCACTCACTGGCAGGAGGTCGCCAGCCCTTGCCCTGGTCCTGATGTTCTCCTGCCCTGCACAGGCCATCCGCCCGCTTCCCCCACCAGCGGAGGAAGAAGAGGAGGGAGATGGATGACGGGCTGGCTGAGGGAGGGCCACAGCGATCCAGTGAGTAGGCGATGGCCCTAGAGGGCCGGCTGGGTCGGGGAGCTGTGTGAAGATGGTCACACGCCTTCCCCTCCCACTACCCTAGACACGTATGTAATCAAGCTGTTTGACCGGAGTGTGGACTTGGCTCAGTTCAGCGAGAACACCCCCCTCTACCCCATCTGCCGAGCCTGGATGCGCAACAGCCCCTCAGTGCGCGAGCGCGAGCGCTCCCCCAGCTCCCCGCTACGCCCGCTGCCTGAGGACGAGGAGGTTGGACATGCGGCGGGCCCCTTCCGGGCAGCCAGTGGGGAGATGGTGAAGGGTGTCCTCCCCCAAAGCTGGTGGGATAGGCAGGCACAGGTCTCTGTGTTTGCTGGATCCGACGCAGCACACAGATGTGAACCCTTTGGCCAAGAGTGTGGATGGAACTCCTTAAAGCAGACAGACACAACCACCTGGCCTGCCAGGGGGAGGGGACAGGGCTTCCTGGGGCAGGTAGATGTGACCTCCAAGATTAGAGGTTCCCAAAAGCTGGGGGGCTTGACAGGGGTCCTTACTGCAACCAGGTGTAGCCACCTGCCTAGGGGAGCGGATGAGGGTTACTGGGCTGGGTAGGAGTGATTGGGGGTCCCTGGGCTGGATAGAATAGAATCAGGGATCCCCGAAGCGACATTTCTTTGGCATGGCTCCTAAGACGGGTCCCCAGTGAGACCCTTGTGTCTGCTGTCACTGGGAAAGGCAGGAGGAGTGAAGTGCGTACTGCTGGCCCTCTTCTCTAACTCTCTTGGGCCTGGCGTGGGTTCCCTTGTGTCCCCAGAGTTCGGAGGTCACCAACAGCAAGAGTCGTGATGTGTACAAGCTGCCCCCACCCACAGCCCCCGGGCCGCCTGGAGATGCTTGCAGGTCCCGAATTCCATCCCCCCTGCAGCCCGAGACCCAGGGCACCCCTGATGATGAGGTGGGTATGCAGGCTGGCCCAGGGCTCTGGGGCAGATGGTACAGGGCTTGGGCATGGCCAACCCAGCCTGGCCTCTCTGTCCACGCAGCCCTCCGAGCCTGAGCCCTCACCATCCACACTCATCTACCGCAACATGCAGCGCTGGAAACGCATCCGCCAGAGGTGAGCGTCCCCGAACCTGCTTGCACTCCCATGGCTTCTGTCCCAGCCGCTCAGTCCTCCCTCTGCCTCTCTACCCCCACCACAGGTGGAAGGAGGCATCTCATCGGAACCAGCTTCGGTACTCAGAAAGCATGAAGATCCTCCGGGAGATGTATGAGCGACAGTGATGTTTCCCTGCTCTTCACACATCCCCCCAATAAACATCCCCCCCCACATCTTCACACCAACCTCCGCTCTCTCCAGCCCGCATTTCCCGGCTCAGACATAAAGCAGTTGGCGTAGCTCTAGCACGTTTATTGGGGGGAATGGTTAAGGGTGGCAGGAAATTCAAGGAGGGAGAAGGATTGTGGGGTACCAAAGCAAAAGTGGCTGCCTGGTTGGATCTTGGAAAATGGGGGGGGTGGTATGTGAAAGGTGAAAGGTGGATTACGTGGGCTGTGTGGCTGATGATTTGGGAATTAAGACAGAATGACTGGGTGGAGGGGGTGGTTCTGGTTAGAGTTGGGGATGGGGCTTAGGGTATCTGTGCAGTCTGAGGTTGAGGGTCCTGCTGGGCCTGGAATAGGTGTCCAAGGTTGGGGTGGCAGTCAGAAAAGGGGTTCAAGAGTCTGGGAGGGGGCGCTGGCTGGGGGTTTAAGTCACAAGATGGGTGGGGTAGAGTAGATTGTCCAGTTGGAATGAGGGGAAGGATCCAGAATCACAAGGCCCAGGCCTTGGATGGTCTGGATATTCGAGGGGTGGAGAGGGATTATGCTTGACTGGCCTGGGGTGGGGGCAGGGCTAGCCACACCATAATCCAGTGTTGGAGAGGGAAGAGGATTAAAATGCTGCGATGTGGAGATGTTTTAATAGATGAGTCAGAAGGAAGCAGAGGAGGGAGTTCTGAGTGGGTTTACATGCCAAGAAAGTGGGGCCAGGAGACTGCAGGCTGAAGGTTGTCCCCCAGGACATGGAATCTAGGGAGGTGTCAGGAGTTTGAAAGCTGGAGGGGGTGTGAGAACGGGAGTGTCGGTGGAATGATCTACGTTACCAGGGCAGGGTCTACGTGGGAAGGGTCAGGGTAGGATCCCAGACTGGGTGGGTGGTTTTGGCACGCTCGGGACATCTGGCTGGGCGGAGTCAAGTCGGCTTTAAAAGAGGGGGCCTGAGGCGGCTCCCGGGGTTCAGGCATGACGCCTATTTGGCAGCAGCCTGCGGCTGCGGCAGTGGAGCCTGGGGCGTTGTGGGTGCGGCCTGGATGGACAGGACGCCCTCAGGGGACAGCGCGGACGTCACGGCGGCAGGGTCAACGCCAGCGGGCAATTTGTAGCGGCGGTGGAACTCGCGCGCGATGTATCCATGCTCATCCTGGAGAGAGAGGGGACTTGAGTGGCGCCGCCCCTTCCCCATGGATGCCCCGCCCCTCCGGCCCGCGGATCCCGCCTACGCGTTCTGGCCCCACCCCTGCCAGCGGGCTCACCGGGCGCTCCTCGTGGCGCGCATGCACCTCCACGTGGTCGCCAACCACCTTGACGGCGATTTCCTCCGGGGAGAAGTGCTTCACATCCAGCAGCACCGAGAAATGCCCGGGCTCCGTCGGGACCTAAGCACAGCCCGATCGTCATCACCCGGGCGAGGCCCCCAGGAGCCCACAGGGCCCCTCCCCCATCGGTTCTGGGGCTGCCCCTGTCTCAGGCCTCCGGAACTGGGCAGTCTCCTTTCCCACTCGTAGCCCCAGAGGATCTCTTCACCCAGAATAACTGCTATCACCCGTCCCCCTATAATCACTGAGATTCTCTCATCCAGAGTGATGAGGCCCTCTTCCCCTGCAAGGTCAGGGACCTCCGTTCTCACAGGGTAAGGCCTGCCCCCCCCCCCCGTGTCAGAGTGTCCTTTGGACACAGAATCCCCCGCCCCCCCTACCCCCGACCCCCCTATGCCCTTCCCTCCCCCCCACCCCCCCCCCCCCACCAGAAATTGCCAAGATGCCTCTTCCCCCAGCTTCCAGTGTCATCTTTTTACCCTCCCACTGGAGTCACGGGGCCGCTTACGCCCTCCACAGTTACAGTACTCTCCCCCCAACTTCTCAGAGTAGCCAGCCCCCGCTCTTTCTCAAGTCACAGGACCCTTCCTCCCCCTCTGTCTCTCCAGGAGACATAGGGTCACCACATACAGTCTCCAAATTCTTCCCCGAGAAATGACAAAACATTCCCTCCCCTCAGGAGCCCCTGGGAACCCCCATGCCCTTCAGAGTAACTGAGCACCCCCTCTTCCCCAGATTTCCCGGGTCATCAGCCTCCCTCAGAGTCACCAAAGCTCGCCCCCGAGTGACGGCCCCACCCTATCCGTGACTCAGTCATTCCAGCCCCTCAGAGCTGAGACCCTCCTCAGATGACCAGGGGCCTCCCACCCGCCTCAGTAATCCGGCCTGTGAGATTCCATACTCAGGAACTCTGGAAGCCCCTCTTGAGTGGCTGGACTCTCCACCCGGCTCAAAGTCGGGGGACATTCCTCACCGCCCCTTCGGGATGAACGGGGGCCCCAAGCCTTGCTAGTGGTCGAGTTACCGCCCTCCCCCAGGCCTGGCACCTGGGCGGTAGGCAGCGCCACGCTGGGTGCGCGCAGGTAGTAGGGGGCCAGTGAGGCGGGGCAGAGCGCAGCCAGCTCGGCCTCCAGCAGCCCCTCGCCGAAGCGCTGGTCGAAGAGGCGCCCAGGCGCCGAAAGCCCGGGCAACGGGGCCGAAGCGCGGCGCAGCCAAGACGGCTGCACAGGCACGGGGATCTCCATCCTGCTTCGCCGCCGCCGCCGCCGCCCCTAGGCTCTGCAGTGCCCCTGCGTGCGCCGCAGCGGCTCTTATAGTACGCCTTGTGTCCGCCCCTCGGCGGGCCGCCCGGGGACATTGGGACCGCGGCCAGCCCCGGCCATTAATAGAGCCTTATTTAGAAAGCCCAACAATGACTTGGCCATTTATTAAGCGCCTGCTGGATGCCAGAGAGGTGACCCCCCGCTTTCCCAATGGGGAAACTAAGGCTGAGGAGGCGGAGCCTTGACGGCGCAGCATTTGGGACCCAGGGCCCGAAAACCCCACCGCAGAGTTCGCAGTCCCTTTAATTCACTCCCGCCCCGCAGGCAGCCCTGGGGATGACGCAGACGGCGGTCTTAAGAGCAGATTCTTGGGTACAGGGAATGTGGTAGCCAGCCAGGCTGTCAGGAGGACACAGAACAGACCCTACTCCCATCTCAGCAGAACGCTGGGCCCAGCCCCCCAGCAAGCCGGGCCTAATTCGGGGCCTCTGACTCAGCCTCGGGTGAGCAGGGTAGCGGGGTCTGCCAGGTGAGCAGCGGCCAGAGGGCGGGGGCACGAACAGTCCAGGCTGGCCCCCCAGGGGCCGCGCGCCCGGCCCGAAATAGCTCGTTTTGATCCCACCACCTCGGCTAGGAGCCCAGGCCTGGCACTTAGCGCAACCAGCTGCTCCTGCAGCAAGACGGGAAGTAGTTAATGACTCCGCGGGACCGGCTGGCTGGCGCGACTGATGGAGGGGCGTCAGTTAGAGAGGCGACAGACTCCCCGATTGCCCTGTACGCGAGAAACGGTGGTTACTTTGGAGTCCAGACAAGCTTTCGGCAGCAAAAGTGGGAGTGGCCATAAGGCACGGCTGGAAAGAGAGTACTTTATGACCCCTCCTAACCGCGAGCTCACCCTCGGATCCTTTCCATTGGTTCACAGGCTTGCCAATTACTGCTGCGCGCTACGGTTCTCCAATCAAACACGCTCTCTCAGTCAGGCCGAAGGTACGGCCAGTTGTGCGACATCTCCCTTTGGCCGCTTCCCAGTTACTTTTATTTTCTCCTCCATCATTGGTCGCCCTGGAGGCCGCTCTCTTCCCGCGCGGGCACTCCGGAAGAGGGGCGGGCCTAGCCAGGCATTGCTAAGCAACAAAGATGCACCGAGGCTCAGCCCAGTGAGGGAACGGAGCTGGCGGAAGCGCCCAGGTAGCTGCTGGATGGGTCGCAGGTGAGGCCGATCCTTCTCCCGGGGACCCCAGGAGGCCTGGGGAGGACCTAGAGTGAGATGAACACAGCGTCGGGTCCGGTTTGCTAGGGTCCGGAGTCTCTTTTTTAAACCGCACTGGAACTACGACTCCCAAGATGTTCCACATCCGCCGGCAGCGCCAGCTTTGGACTTCACCATCTCGGGGTCCCATAGCGTCTTACGTTCCGCTTTCCAAGTAGCTCCAAGGGCTTTTCGTTTTCCTCCACAGGTGTCCAGTGTCATCTTGGGAGTTAAATTTCTGAATTTTAAAACTGCCCCAGATTCCTGTGGGTGTTGGTTTTTAACTTTATTGCTTAGACGGAGCCCAGTTGCTGTTGGGGATTGTAGTCCTTTTACCATTTACACCTTAGTGTACCCAGGACTTTATGGGAAATGTACAGTGTAAGGGGTTAGCCGTGGTTCTCAACCCGAGCTCCACGTCAAAATCACCTGGGACGGTGCGGAAGAGATACAGATGACTAGCCCGCTTCCAGATAGTATGATTCTTTTCGGCTTGGGGTGAGGACTGTGTATCTGTATTTTTAAAACGCTCCTTTATTAGATTCAGGCTTAAGAACCACCAGTTGGCAGTTCTTGGTTTTCTGAGACTGCCCCCAAGGGCTGGTGGGTAATCGAGCCTCTAGTATCATTATCTTGAATGTGCAGCACTGCTTCATGGGAATTATAGTTCATCTCTTCCTGGAATCTATGGGAATGGTAATCTGGTTCTCCCCTCCTCTTCCCAACCCTGAAACCTGACCACCCCCCAACCCCCCAACAGGAAGGCTCTGCCTGCCAAACTCACTCTCCTCTTGCAGTCTGCCAGTTTTCTCCATCCAAGACAGCCCCCTTGAGGATCCTGCCCTGGATCAAAGCCACTATTGGCCATCTGGAAGCCAGACTTGGCACCCCAAGGTGAGGACACTCCATAGAGAGTGCTGTGTGTGAGCCCAGTGGTGAGGGAGTGACAACCAGAGGGAAGGAGGACATGTGATGAGAGACAGGGGTGAGAGATTAAGAGACAGTCCCTCCTCCCCTCCCCATGGCTCTGTCCTCACCCAGTCTTCTGTCATCTGGATCCCCTGTTGTAGCCCCCAGTCACTCTAAGTCGTAACCATTGTGGGATATGTTTCCTCCCCTCTCGACTCGACTAAGACAAACTTCACGTGTGCCTTCATTCCCCTACAGGGATGACCCATCCACCCTCAGTTTCTTCTCTCCCTACCTCCCTATCTTAGACCCTGGCCCCATCCAGGTCCCAGAGATCCAGGCCCCCAGAAGCTCCGAAGGCTCTGGCCACAGGTCCCAACTCCTCTGAACTGTTTGAAGAGTCCTGGCCATCCAGCTCAGAAAGCCCTTCCCCGCTCAGCACCACTGAAGGACAGATGGGAACCTCTCCGTCACCCACCCTGGTCGACAGCAGGGAGTCCGTGGTGGCCAAGTAAGTCCCAGCAGCCCTGGGGGAGAGAAGGGTTTGGATCAGGAGGGGGTAGGCATCCCATAATAATCACCATAGCAAGAGTTGTTTATGCAACACTTTTAGGACCACGCTTTATGTGTGCTGTTAAGAGCTCTGGAGGTAGGCTGCCTGGGTTCAAATCCCAGCTCTGTCACTTACCCTCTGTACGATCTGGGCCTCAGTTTCTTCATCTGTAAATTGGGGGTATTAACAGCATATATCCCCTAGGGCCATTTTAAGCTTTCAATGAGTTACTGTCTATAAAGTATCTAGAACCAGTGCTATCACATAGTGAGCCCTTGGATTTGTAGCATCCAAGTTCAGCTGCTCTACCAAACAGCCCCAAATTACTTGTGGCTTAATCAAGAGAGCATTTATTTCTCCCTCACGCAACAGTCCAGGCAGAAGCAACGAAGGCCAACACAGCAGCCCCCGGCTCAGGTGTCAGGGACACGGTTTGCTTCCTGTCTTGTTGCCTCCCATCACTAGGCTGTTGCCCTTTCCTTTATGGACCAGAATGGCTCCCAACCACATCCACTTTCCAGAATCACATCTCCTCATCTCAAAACCCTGCTGGTCAAGAACCTAGTTATGGGGCCATAAAACTGTAGGGACCTCTGAGAAATGTATCTGCGGGAGAGTGGCTATGGGCCTAGTATTATACAGTCTTATATAATACTGCATTACTCTAGAAGAGAGAACAGATGTTGAGGGACAAGCACTAGGTACTGCCAAAGTATTTGATAAACATCACTATTGTTATTGTTATTATTATTATTATTTGGCGCTCCTCGTTCACCCACCTCCCATTCTCTGATGCTCACAGGTACATAAACCGGTTCCGTCAGGCTCAGCCCACAAGCCGAGAGGAGCGCCAGCCTGCAGGCCCAACCCCAGCTGACTTTTGGTGGCTCCGGCCTGAATCTCCAGACACCAGCAGTCAACTTGCTGCAGGTACCAGCTTCAGTCCTGTCCACTGCCGGCCTAAAACCTTTCCTGATCAATGCCCCCAGCAGACATTCCCCATGCCCCCCCTAAAAATCAACTGGGGCTTCTCAGCAGGAGCCAGTGAACCAGAAGGAAGACCCAGTACAGCAGTCCCAATTCTTGCCAAGGTGGCCAGTGCATCTCAGGCTAAGGCTGTGGCCCCCCTTGAGGAAATGAAGCAGGTGATATATATTCTCATCTACTTTCTTCCCTGTGTACCTGAACTGACACCACCAGTCCTAGGATAGAATTACAGAGTCGATCCCCAATTCAAGGAAGCTTAAAGAAAAAAGGAGGATTTGTTGGCTCATGCAATCAAGAAATCCAAATGTATATGCTTTCAGGCATGGCTGGATGCAGGTGTTTAAATGGTTTTAGGAGGAACTTGACTCTCTTGACTCTCTCTTCCTCTTTCTTGGGCTCAGTCTCAGGCAGGCTTTCCCCTTGAAGTAGAGAACGTGGCCCCAATGACTCTTGGCTTCTAGCTTACATAATCACTTTAGTGGAAAGAGGAGCATTTTCCAGTAGTTCCATCCAGAGCCCCAGAGCTTATTCTCATTCATTCATTCTTTTTTTTTTTTTTTTTCTTTTTGCTATTCGTTTATCTTTGAGCCAGTTGCTGTGGAATCAGAGGACAGATTGTTGTGATTAGCCAGGCCTGGTCAGGAATGTGGGGTCAACCCTTCTCCCATAATAATGACTACAAGGAGGGGTGTTAATCCCCAGAGGAAAACTGGATCCCCCTTCCCTGGGGAGAGGAGTGGATTCCTTAGATGGCTTACCAGCATATGAGCCTATCAGCTGTAACACAGACCTGTACTGCAGGTCTTGTGTCCAAAGTCTTTTTCCCAGCACCCTTTAAGATGGGGCTAGCCTCTAATCCCTCTTCCCTCACAGAGCCTCAACACATGGAACTCATCCCTGCTGGACCTGGAGACACTGAGCCTACAGAGCAGAGCTGCCAGGCTGCTCAGACACAGGTAGGTGCCTTCCGTGCCCCCCTCCTCCTGCCCCCCCCCCCCCCCCCCCCCCCAGCTCCAGGCCCCGCCCACTGACTCTGAGACCCCTGTTGCCTTGCTTGTGCTTTTTCCCTACAGCAAGGCATCCATCTCTGCCTCCTCACTAAGCCCTAGCGATACCAGCAGCTCCTCATTCCCAGTCAGCTCTGATGGCCTCTCTCCCTTCTCCGTGACCTTCACCCCTGACTTCAGCAAGGGCTCTGACCCCAAGGCACATGGTAAGTTCTGAGGCAAGGATCGAGAAGAGACTGGATGTGAATCCCAGCTCTGACATCTACCCGCTATGTGACCTGGGGCCTCTCTGGGCCTCTCTGTTTCTCCAAGTTTTAAATCAGCAATAAATGAGTTGAGGGTACAGGGAGCTCTTGCAACAGTCCTCACAGCACCAGTTGTTAACATGGCACGTTCTCTCTCTGCCTCCTGTTTGCAGTTCTGAACACAAATTTCCAAAATCTGAAGGCTTTTTCCTCATTTGGCCCTGTACCTGCTTGGACAGCAAAATCTGACCGAAAGAATATGAAGGCTGTTTATCATCTCTCTGTATCTCATTGAGGGTGAATAGACATACTTTTTGCTATGGCTGTGTTACCTTGAACCACAGGAAACTTGTCCTTGTTAGTAAAAGATGGTTGAGTATGGACAGTTTCATATTGTTCAACCAAATACTAATGTGTTTCAGTCTAGAGTACTGAGCCAGCCCTCTGCTGGTGCTGGACATACGATGTGATTTCGCCGAAGCAGGCAAATTGTTGAACTCCTAATTCCGGCCACCTGAAGTCTTCAGATTTCAGAGATGGGATTATGGACCTGGATTAATGTTACTCCATGGCCAGGTCCTGGGACGCAGTGGTGCACAGGACAGATCCCGTCCATGTCCCATGGGGTTCGAGTGAATGGGGACAGGCAGGCACAGAAAACAGGTGCACCTGCGTGGTATGTGATCCTGGCGGAGCTCTTGCTTGTCTGATTCTTTGCTTCTTTTCAGCTTCACCTCACCTTTCATTCACCTCTCCTTCCTAAGCCTCAGTGTTCTCATCTGCAAAATGCAGATAAAGCTAGTATCTACTTCGTGAGTTGTCCTTTAAATTTACTCATCCTTTCATCTAAAAAGCATTGAATATCTATTGTGGGTGAGGCCCTGGGAGGGGACTTGGGGATTCCACAGTGAACCAGGTGGAATCCTGGAAGGTGTGGTCCCACCTTCATGGTCCTCATAGGACCATGTGGGCCAGAAAGTAGCCACATAACCCCACAAACACATGTGAAATGTAAGCAGAAATGAGGGCCCTGTAAGAGAGGATGGTGATGCTGGGAAGTCAGAGAAGGCCTTCTTGGAAGAGGTGCTAAGTGGAGACCCGAACAACGAAGGTGGGGACAACGCCCCTGCAGCAGATACAGAGGACCTAAGGTGGAAGGGAGCACGGTGCAGATAATGGACTAGAAAAGGCGGGGGGGGTGGTGTTTGAGAGTAGTATGGGGTCAGGTGGAAGAGATTGGCAGGGGTCAGATTACATCGGGCCATAGAAGCATGGGAGGCATTTGGTCATTATCTTAGTACTGGGAAGCCATGGGAGGGTTCTGAGCAGGGAGGGATTCAATCTTTCTTGGGTTGTAACAGACTCCCTCTGGCTGCTGTCACCCCCCTCCACTCCCCCTCTACCGCCCCACCGTGAGAGATGCTGGTAGTTTCTCTTGGGCCAGAGCTTAAGGAACAGAGTAGAGGGAAGGGGCCAGCTTTGGAAGTAGAGTCACAGGAAACAGAAGGGAGTGGGAGAGAGAAAGATCCAGGATGACACCCCCTTCTCTGTGCAGCATCAGATGGTGGGGCTTCATAGAGACAAGAGCCCTACTGATCTTGACTGATGAAGTTATGCTCTGGGTGCTCAGAATGACGTCCATTTGCCCCACTGAACTGAGGACAGCCTATGGCCCTCCCCTGGGTCACTGCTGTATCCCTGGACCCTGCAGTTCAATATAATAAATAGTTCCTTTGGCATTTATGCCCAGATACTGATGGCAACAGCCTTGTTCTTGACACTGCAGATGTAGTGATGGTCAGATAGACGAAAACCACTGTCCTTGGGTAGCTGGCATTGCATAGGGAGAGAGAAGCAAGCAAAGAAGTACCACACTGAATATGTTAGAAAGCAGAAAGAGCTAAGAAGGAACCTGGAACAGGAAAGAGGATATGGACTGGCAGTTGTTGCAGTTTTAAATAGACTGGCCAGGGAAGGCCCCCCTAAGAAGGTGATACTGAGTAAAGATCTGAAGCATGGGAGGGATGGAACCGTGTGCATCCAGGAGGGAACAGCACTCCAAGCAGTGGGAAGCACAAATGCAAAAGCTTGCTTTTTACCAGGACAGGGGAGGGTTCCAATCCAGGAGGGCCCTGACCTGACTCAGGTGTTCCCAGGCTCCCTCTGGCTGTGGGGGGTGTGGAGGGGTGTGGGGGGTTAGACAGGACAGATTGGGAGGACAGAAGTAGACTAGAGAAGATCCTGCTGTGGGGCTGGCCCCAGGAAATGGCAGTCAAGACGGGGAGAAGTGGGCAGATTCTGGAGAATCTGTCTTGTTCACTGCTGTGAACACCATGTCCAGAACAGTGCCTGGCATATAGGAAGAACTCAATAACTATTTGCTGATGAATAAAGAACTGAATGACGACAGGTTAAGAAGCCCATGAGTGCTCTTGCCTCTGACTCTGCCCCCTTTCTCACTTCCTGCTTGGGAGAGGAGCTGGGACATTATCTGGAGAGCCTGTCTGAATACCTTTCTGGTACAGTCAGAGGGGGTATGCACAGGCTGTCCTTGGTTTGCTCATCACACCAGCCGGTGGCCTTACCCTTCCTCCTCCTACTTACCCCACAGCAACACCAGCGCCTGCCTCCATCCCTGCGCCAGCCCAGGTCTCCTCCCAGGCACCCCTGCGTCCAGAAGATGACATTCTATACCAGTGGCGGCAGCGGCGGAAGCTTGAACGGTCTCGGGCTCAGGCTCGAGGAGGGCAGGGTGATGGAACCTGGGTACTACCCCAGACTCCTGCCCTCACCACTCCAGTGAGACTCGGCAGGGGTGGGGGTAGGGGTGGGGGTTGGGGAATGAGGTGGGGAGCTTGAGGGGGCTGGAGGGAGGGATGCTAAGGGAAGTTGGAGGAAGGGGAAGCCAGAAGGGGACTGAAGAACCCTCTGCCCTTTTTCTCCCTCTCCCGTCCCTGCCCCCATTTGTCTACAGGCCCTTTCTGCCCCTGCAGAGACTCTCGGCTCCCTGGGAACCCAGCCTCCCTGCGTCCCACATTGGGCCAGTGTGGCCCGACCTGGGCCCCTGGAGGCCTTCTATATGGAGAGATCTCCTATTCCCCCAGGGTTCTCTCCACACATCTTTTGGGGTCCCAGCCCCCATGGGTTCTTCTGGGCCCCGCAGTCTGGTCCCTGGGTATCTCTCGGGGCCATTCCTCCTGCGCCGTCAACCCCTGTGGCTCTGGCTGCCACCCCCCTGCCCCCCGCCTCCACCCCGGCACCCGCAGCTTCCACCCTCCCGCCCCCAGCCGCCCCCCAGGACCCGCCCACTCCTGCTCCAAGCTGCCCCACCCAGCCCGAGAGGCAGGGCCCCAAGCCTCAGAGTAGCAGAGCCCGGTGCCAGGAGTCGGCTGGGGCAGTCCTGGCAGCTGACGAGGGGCCTGGTCCCCAGCTCAGAGGCGCCCTGGGCCAAGTAGTATCGGCTCGGCTCTTCCCCGAAGGCCTGGAGGACACGCCCCCTCACCCTAAGAACCCACCTCTACCCGAGGGTGAATCTCTGAAAGTCAAAGCCACACAGCCCCAAACCAAGATTGCGCCACCTCGCTCAGAGGTCACGCCCCCTCTATCTGGATCACGATTTCCCAAGGCACAAACTCTGCGAAGTCGGTCTAAAGCCGAGTCTCGGAAAGCCAAGGCCACGCTCCCCCTGGCGGTGTGGGAGCCTAGGAAAGACAAAGACACTCCCTTGGCTGAAGCTGGGTATCAGGCGCCTAAGGTCCCGCCCACTCCAGCTGAGGAGGCGTTTCCTGGCGCCAGGGCTCCGCCCCCTTCCTTCAAGGCGTGGTCTCTCGAGGCGGCTGCGGCTCCCTCGTCGGCTGCTGGCCACGCCCCCTCAGAAGATCTGCTCTGCCAGGCTGCCCGACTTCTAGAGGAGGCGGAAGGTGAGCTGATGTGCGTGGCTGCGCGGATCTGGACGGCAGTCCAACACCTTATGAGTCGACATCCTGGCGCTCACCCTTTCCCCCCTAGACTCAGACGGCAGCGAGTTCCAGGACGACCCGGTACTTCAGTTGCTAAGAGTTCAGAGGTCCGAGCTGAGACGCCAGAAAAGGTGACCTTCGCCGGGATATACAACACCCTGTTCCCAGAGCCATCCACTACCCCAGACTCCAATCCTGAGCACATAACCTGAGCCTCTTCTATCCTGGCTTTTTTTGCAGGAAAGTGGACGCCCAACTATGCCTCTTACTGGAGCACACTGGAGACCCAGGGACTTGGTCTCCTCCAACCAGGTCGCCCCCCCAGGTCCCCAGGAAGGAGTCTGCAGAGGGAAGGAGTTTCTCTTGAGACCAGACGACATTGAATTGTATAAATTATGTTTTTCCCAACACAATATATTATTTTTTTCACGTTACTGATTGTCTCTGAGAAAGTTGTTCAGGAAAGGCTGAGGGTCATGCTAATTTAGAGAAATAGCTCCCTCCCGCCCCAGTCCACCCCCTGCCTCACCCCCACTGTAGTTTCCCACCGACCGTTGGCACAGTTGGCACAAAATCTCTTCCCGTTTCCCTTCTGAGGAATCCTCTCTGAGGTCTGGAGAGGGGGAGGGGTTCCAGGCCAGATTTCAGGCAAGACTGAGACCTTAGTTGACTCTCAGCTCAGAAGCGGACCCTCCTGACTCAGCTGAAACCAAAGGGCTGTGTTCTGGGCTAATGAAGCTAATGGGGTCATCAGAGTGCTGGACAATGGTCAGTCCTCAGTCCACAGCCTGCTTGAGCCCACAGCAGCATTCAGTGTGCTCATCCCTCCCTCCTTGGAACACTTCCTTCCCCTCTTCCCAGTGCCCCACCCTTCTCCTCACCTCTCTGGTCACACCTTGTCATTGGCCCAGCCTGTCCCTTGAAGATATCCCAGGTCCCTGGCCTTAAGTGTATGTATTCATTCCCAGGTGCTCTCATCTAGCTTCACCTGTCTGAACTTTTGAAAAACCTGTTGTTTTGCCTGTAAATTCTTTGATGCACTTCCCATTAAGAAGTAGAGTCAGTGTCCCTTCTCCCTGAAACTAGGTAGAACTTTGGGGACTGCCTCAACAAATAGAATACAGAGGAAATGACACTGCTTTAAGTTTCTAAACCAGATTAGAAAAGATGATACAATTTCCATCTGGTGGCCCAGCATCCCCTCTGTTTTGTGTGCTTTGGAGCCCTGGGCTGCCATGTAAAAAGTGCAGTTGCCCTACTGAGGGATTTTGGTGACAGGTGTATGCACTTGTCAAGATTCAGTGAAAATTCTGAATTTTATTGTAGGTAGAGTTGATCTCAAAATAAAAACAAATATTGAACTCTAGTTAAAGATATGCATGCTGAAGTGTTTAGGGGACAGTATACCAATATCTTATTTATTCTGAAATATATCCAAAAAATAGTGAGACTATTGGAATAGAATGAATAGAGTAATAGGTGAATGTAGATACAGTAAAATGTCAGTGGTAGGATCTAAGTGGTGGGTATTTGGGTGTCTACTGTGAAATTCTTCAACTTTGCTATATGTTAGAAACTTTTCATAATAAAATATTGGGAGAATTTATGATTAGGATTATTTTGATATCTGTATTTATTAAAAGGGGAGGATAGAACAGGTTTCTGTTAAAAGTAGCTTCTGAGGGCTCCTGGGTGGCTCAGTCAGATAAATGTTTATTTGATTTTGGCTCAGGTCATGATCCTGGAATCCTGGGACTGAGTCCCGTGTCAGACTCCCCACTGCTTCTCCCTCTGCCTTTCTCCCTGCTGGTGCTCCTTCTCTCAAATAAAGAAAGAAAGAAATCTTTTTTAAAAAGTAGCTCTGTATATCATAGACATGGTATATATTTGTTTTCAGCCTTTTTGAACAAACCATACATTTAAATGACATTTTAAAAAAAGGAAATTGCTGTTTAGATATAAAGAGAAATGAAAGATGTTTATAGTAGCAGAACTTGATCTGGTTGGGGGTGACTGGAGCCTACAAGAATTTCTGAGGAAGTTACACTTAAGCTGAGACAGGTAGGAATTAACTCATTGTCAAAGGGCCATTCTAATTACTATTGCTGGATTATAAATCATCCCCAAAATTTAATGGCATAAAACAATCATTTTATTATGTTCATGGATTCTGTGAATCAGAAATTCGGGCAGGGCACAGTTGGGGACAGCTTATTTCTGCTCCATGATGTTTAGGGGTTCACTGGAAAGACTCAAAGGTGACTTGACAGCCAGGGACAGAATATCTGGAGCTTCTTCTCTTACAAGTCTGGCACCAGGGCTCAGATGACTCCAAGGCTGGGCTCAGATGGAACTGTAGCCTGTAGTGCTTACACGTGGTCTCTCCACAGCGCTTGGGCTTCCTCAAAGCATGGCTTCCTGGCCATAGGTGCACTTCTCACATGATGCCGCAAAGCTCTGGAGCTAGTCATTCCAGCAGACAAAAAGGAAGATGCATTGCTTTTTTGCAACTTAGCCTTGGACATAGCACGTCAATTCCACTATTCTCTGTTGGTTGAAGTTGTCAGTCTTGCTCAGATTCAAGGGGTAGAGGACACAGACTCCAGCTTTTCATGAAAGCAGTGTCAAGGAATTTGCAGTCATTTTAAAGACTGCAGGCAATGGGAACATCATGTAAGAAATCCCTGCAATGGGAGTGAAGTCAGCAAGTTCAATAAGCTGAAATAAGGAACTCTAAATTGACCCCTCCTCAGCATTCCCTTTCCCCAATCCTGGCTTAATTTTTTATCCTTAGAATTTATCACCTTCTGATTTGCTATATTTTTGAATATTTTGTTCATTGTTTTCTCCCACCAGCTTTTGAGCCCCATGTGAGCAGGATATCTTTTCCTTTGTTTTGGTTACTGATGTAGCCACAAAGTAAGTAACTAGAGTTTTTGAAAGAGTGAATAAATCAAAGCGGTACTCTCTGAGGTGAGGGCCCCTGTTGAGAACACGACCAGGGGAAAAGTTCTCTTGGAAAGGGCGTTGTTAATAGCCTTTTTTGGGCCTGGCTCAAGCCAGAGGCGGAACGATTGGGACTGGCTTTATGGGAGGTGTGTGGTCTTGTTTCTGGCATTGCGGGCTAAACCAGTTCCTAGGGAAAAGGAGTCAAAGCTGGAGGCCGGCCTGTAAGAAGCAGTAGAGCAGGAGGCAAGGGCAAATATCCAGTGGGGAGGGCAAGGCCGAGTCGCAGAGTGCCTAGGATAACGTCCGAGGCAGGGTATCTGAGTCCGTGAAAACCGTCCACTGGCAAATGCCCTCAGTATTCTGTGGGCGGTGTCGGGGTCAGGACTGACAAGCTGGAGCTACAGGATTGAGACGTTGAAAAGCTGCCTGGGGATGGAGAGAAGCTCTGAGGCCATGGAAGAACCCAACTAAGAGTGTCAAAGGGGGAAAAAAGTGTCAGAGGACTGGTCACTGAGAATGGACTAAGGGGAGGGCTCAATGCTTAGTGTTAGAAGTGTAGGAAGCAAAGCATAAAGAACCTAGGGGTGTGTCTCAGGAGGGCAATGAGAGCCAATGAAGAGCAGTCATGGGCGCGGCGCTGTCAAACTTCGCTGGGCGGGACCGAAGGCACCGAGCCAGGGATGGGACCGAAGCCTAAGCCAATGAAAACCCGACAGGTGGGCGGGACGGCCAAGGGTGGAGCCAATGAGAAGCGGCGCCGCGTCCCCGCTGCCCCCGCCTCCGTGGGGCGCGCGCCGGAGCCACGGGCAGCCGTTAGGGGCGGGGCCTGCAGCCGCCCGCGCGCGGCTCGCGCCCTCCCCTTTGTGTCGCCATGGCGGCGGCAGCGGCGACGAGGACGACGAGCGAGGGGTCGAGCGCAGCCGGCGCCTGAAGAGGCTACGCTACCATGGTGGTGAGGGGCCCACGCGGCCGTCAGTCCGTCTGCGTGTCAGTCTGTCTGCGCGCGGCCCCGCCCCGCGCGCCCCGCCCCCGGCCCCGCCCGAGCCCGCGGCCTGCGCCGCCCCTCACCCCTCGTCTAGGTCCCTCTCGTCCCCCGGTCGGGTCTTGGGCCCGAGCTCTTACCCCGGCCCCGCCCCCTCAGTGTGCATCCCCTTCCACGCCCTGGATGGCGGTGACAGTGGCCGAGGACCCAGGCTTGGGGGGATGGGCTAGTCCCGGGAAGGACCCGCACCGCCGGTTGCCCCCTCCCCGGGACCTGCTAAAGCTTCCTGGGTTCTTCGCCAGCCCCCATCCCACAGCCATCCTCAGCGTCTTCTCCCAACCTCCATCCCTCCCTGGCTAGCCCCCTCCCCCTCCTACCACCAGCCCCTTTCGCGTTCTTGAGCCCCACCCCCATCCGGCTCCATCCTCAGCCTGACCCTTTTCTTCTCATTCTCACTCCGTTCTGCTCCCTCTCAATCAACCCTCTCCTACCCCTCCATCGGCCTGAGCCTCAGCCTCTCCAGCATCTCCCCTGCCCTTACACCCCAACCCCACACCAGCAGTGTACTTCTGGCTAGATCCTAGGGTCCTTCTCCATCTTCTTGTCCTCACCCTCCCTCCCCACCATCTCCCTTTCCCACCATGCTGCTCCTGCTCATTCATCCATTCATTCCCTCATTCGCTCACTTAACAGACATTCCCTGATACTTCCTGGCAGAGCCCATGTTCCAGGCGCAAAGAAATTCACGTCCCGTCCTGCCTTGGGGATCTTCATGGGCTGGAGAGGGACAGAACCGAGGGTGAGACCCAAGGATGAACCTGGGGTCGCAGGGATATGAAGGAGGGAGTGGCTAGAGCCTGGCCTGGGAAATACCTATCTGGCAGCTGGTTAATTTACTCATCAGATTTTACCCAGCTCCTGCTGTGTGACTGGGCACTGGGACCCAGAGAAGAATTAGGCTCAACCTTCCTTGTGAGGAGCATCAGTTCTGTGCCCAGCTCTGTACTGGGTCGCTGATTCTGGGGAAGTCACAGTCCAGTGGGGGGAGATGGACTTGTCACCTGTGGTCTCTCAGAGTGCTCAGGGCTGGGATGGGAGAACCTCAGGGGATAGAGTAGTCTAGAAGAGCAGGCTGACACTTCCAGGACAGGGAATAATAGAGATGAGACCTGAGGGATGAGGAGGACGGAACCTACGGAAAGGATAAGGAAGAGTGAGTGTTCCTTGCAGAGGGAACAACCTTTGCAAAGGCCTAGGAGGAAATGAGAAGATGGTGCTTTGTTGGACTCTTAGAAGTTTGAAAGCTTCCAGAGTGGAGGCCGAAGGGGGAAGATGGGACTGGAAAGGTAAACACATCTGAGAATTCAGACTTTATCTAAGCTAACAGGGAGCCGTTGAAGGTCTATGATCTGTGGAGAGACAGGCAGATATGTGTGGTATGAAAATTATACTGGCGCTTGCTGTGAAGAAGCTGGCAGAAGGGGAGAGGTTGGAA